TACTTTATATTTTACTGGGGACCGCCCCTTTGTGTTTTCTTTTATCCATTTCTTCAATGCTAATGAACTAGATATTTTTCACTGAAATTTAAGAAAAACTAGAAGAGAACTCTCACAGAATCCTTCTTATAATGCTCTTTTTTTTGATTTGGATACTATTATTAACTTCCAGTTATTTTAAGTAAAAACGAATTTTGCCTCTGAAAAGAATATGTGTCATTGACCAAGTGCACCTGACAATGGCAGCCCATTTTGTGTCATGCAATTAGATGTTCCTCTATTAAAGCAATACTCACCCATCACATAGGTCCATGTCTTAATAGAGCTATTGGCTGATAATTCCAAAGGAGAGGAAATGGTGGTCTGATCTTCACCCCATGGGCTAGGCCTTTCTTACCTGTTTGTGAACGCAAGTGAGCCGCCGTGATCACCCACTGTGGGCGAGACTATGCTTCCTCCACAAATATGCTTCTGTCTTTGTTTTCAGAGACACTAGCAAATGCAAATACCTTAAATGAAAGCAAGTTCATGCTCTGGGATCCCCCTAAACATGGTGATGAAGCCTATTCTCAAAACCAGACTCAGATATCTCACTCGTAAATATCAAGAATCATGAACTGTGAGAAGATAAAGTTCACACACTACCGCTCAGAAAGAAGAGTGGTGCTGGCAACCCTGGTCTAGATGAGAGGTAGTTAATTTGAGATGATTGGCTGTAAGTATGTGTCAACAGAGGTAGTAGTTAGAAGTGTTGGGATGTATTTACTTATTTTTATAACACTGTTGACGCAGACCTGTTGTTCTAACAATATGAACAGTGTCTGTGAATGAAGACAAAAGAGTATAAGATATAGCAGAGTCTAGCTGAAGAGGTTTGGAAGAAAGGCAAGGTGAGGGCTGGGGAGCCTTTCAACACATGCTCCAATTTCTCTAAGCCTCTTAGGAAAATTGTTTGGATCTACCACTTTTCTCATACTCCTAACTCTTTGACTCCTATAGCTTCTTCAAGCCTCTTCTTTATCCTACCGCTCCAATATACATTCTAATTTTTGCTTATCCTATTTGCGATATTTGACTTGATTCTAAAACGATTTACTATATACAAGTAAATACTTTTTCTTATGACATTCATCACATGCCATGATGACTATTCTGTGTCTTTCAACCCAACTAGGCTGTAGGCTCCTCAAAGATATAAACTTAACCTTAGAAATATCTATAACCATAAAATCTAGCACAGTTCCTGATGCATAGAAGTCCTTGAGACTCACTTGCCAGGGATAGGAACCCTTCTCCACTTGGCTTCCTCCAAGAATGCGACTGAAAATGTTAAAATAATTCCAAGGCTGTACCTTAACCAGACTCCGCCCACAACTGGGAGCTGAGAAAAAAATGAAACAAACGTTAAATGATTAGATAGCTTCTAGGATTGAGGTAATATCTTCACTATTTCACCCATGAAACTGAGTCTGAGACTATAGTGTATGGTGCCCAGCACACAGTCAGATATCAATAAATCTTTATTGGATTTAATTCTTTTGAGGAATGGAAAGTGACAGGTTTTTTAAGAAGAGTGGAGTGAAGTGTCCTGATTCACAAGTCGGTACTTGGATAGAGGTTTGCTAAGTAATAGAAGAAAAACCTCTTTTATGTAAAATATTTTATCCCTGAAAAAGTTGTTTTTATTTCTTTGCCCTCAATGGGTTTTCTGACTCCTCAGCCAAGGGATAGGCTAGATTAAGGATGTTTACCACCACCTGGTAACTCAAGGATGGCACATCTTCTGTCCCTCCTGGAGGTCATCCTTTTCCATATTTCGAAGGAGGATTAGAACTAGCCTTGCCTCATAATCACCATGCTTCACTGCCTACCTAAGTTCTGTAATTCTTATTCCTAAGCTTGCAGATCACCTCAACTAGGAAGTCTTCCTTGATTTCCTCAGAGTGGGGTTGCCTCTCCCCTGTGTTCTGTAGCACACTTTCTTCACCCCTTTTATAGTTCTTGTCATGCAGAATTGTGATAATGAATTATTTGCCTCCATCATTGGACGATGAACTACTCGAGGGAAAAAAAAATTGCCTTATTCACCTCTGCATTTCTAAGGTTTAGCTTAATTCTTGGCATAAGTAAGCATTTAGAAACACTGGGTGGACGAACAAATGATTTTTCTTGAGAACACATCCTTAAGAGCATAGCTATTTAGATCAACATGTTAAAGTATTCAAATCTCTTTCATACAGCTTCTTGTTTAATGCCACTCTATGCCTATAAATGAAACACTGTTATCCCCACATTGCAGATGAGAAAACTAACAATCAAGGAGATGCACAGCTGAATAATGGCAGAGCATGAATGTAACAATAAGTGTTTTGATCCTGAACCCAATGCCAGGATGACATTGGATCAAAAGCTTATTTTCTAACTGTTTCAGTCAAATGAGTCATAAATACTTTAAATACAAAATTTACAATTTCCCGAATTCACTAAAGTCAAGTCAGAAAACATGTTGATTCTCAGGGCTGGCACAAGTCTGACCAAGGAGAAGTCTGCCAAGAACTGTTTTCAGCTTAAGTTAGTTGAAAGGGAAAAAAAAGACCATTTACAATATACTACAGTGAACATACTTCATATTTCTCAGCAAGATGATTTTGCAAAAGATTAAAAATGCTTCCAAATCCATGCTGATTTCCAGACTTTGCTCTATGAATGAAGATGGGATTATGTAATGGGTCCAAGTAAGTGAACAATCTCAGTTCACTTAGGGAAACTAAGTGAAGAAAACAGGGATTGTTCACTTAATTGGATACATTAGTTGCGTTCTATAAATGTTTCACCCTGTGTCCTATGCTGATTGCAGGAGATAAGTCCGAAATAATTGTTTAAAAACAATTAGATAACCAAAATATATTTGCTTCTCCTATTTTCCCAAAGAAACATGGAGTGGAGTTGTGATGTCCATTGTCATCAAAGGTTCAGATAAAGGTAATTATAGAGTTCATTTGAAACTTACCTTTGGGGAGCAAAAGGGTTGCAGATTTACCTTGTTTGAAAAAGACTATTCCTAGTAGTAAAATCAGCTTGTTCCTGCTTATAAGCATTTTGAGACTCACAGTTTTCCCCTGAAATTTTAGAGAGACGACAGCAAAGAAAAATAGGAAGCCTTGGGAGACCAGCAATAAGCCAATTTAAAACAAGTTTATTCATTAACCAAGACTTGGTATATCAAGCATGTCCATCTGATGTTTCTGAATGTAGTGTTTCGCAAAGATCTTTTGCAAGACGTGGAGAAACAACCACAGAAGCAAAGTCTTGATCAAACAATATTACATATCCTATTACACCTACATCAATTAGTTGATTCCTCCAGAGTGTATCTGGCTAGCAAAGTGGTTAGCATGTAAGGTTTGCATTTGCAAACATTACTTGCTCCTTTGTAGAGCTTACTACTTTCTATAAAAGGATTGACTATCAAAGTTGTCCTTGTTTACAAGGGTACACATCCCTACTTTTTTGCAAACGACCCATCCAAATGTATATAATTTTTTTTGGTTAGAGTCGGAGTTTCATCATGTTGCCCAGGCTGATCTCAAATTCCTGGGCTCAAGGGATCTGCCTGCCTTATCCTCCCAAAGGGCTGGGATTACAAGTGTGAGCCACCACGCCCTGCCAATATTCTAAAATATTTTTATTTATCTTATTTTGCAAATGTAACTATGCGATTATTATAAACATATGTTGGTGAAGGAGAGAAGTGGAAAGATACTTGGGTGTCACACTCAGGAAGCCCTGCTATTAGAAAGTCATCTAGGATACTGTCCATTGGGGCATTTGTGACTCTGCATTCCCCTATCATTTTTGTATGTATGGAAGGGAAACACTAAATCTCCTTTATTTCTATGCTTGGTAGATGTTTGAGGGAGTAAAGTGGCTATGATGACCTGTACATCCTCCTCTTTCCTCAATGAGTTTTGGGCACGTGGTCAGTGTGTGAGAAATATTTGTAGGATTGTCAATGCCATCTATGACCACATAGAAATATAACATTTTTCTGTCAACTTTTATAAGTTACCCACTAAAAATAACAAATGTCAACCCCAAAACTCTTAATTTCCTTTTGGCAACTTTTGTCTTTGTACAAAAAAAAGTATGAAAATACAACACATACAGATAATATAAATGCAAAACAGAGAAGTTGTAAAACCTAACATTTGTAAGCACTACATGTTTAGGTACACTAATCTAGACTGTAGCCTTATGGAAAGAAACGAAACTCAAACCTCTATTGAGGCTTTGTCTACAACTACTGTAATCCTGATGCCAAGCATTTTTGGCTATTGGTATGGGGTGATAGCCCCAAGAGGTAATCAATCAATGTCTAAGCCCTAAACAAAGTCTCAATCTTCCTTTGACAGCAAGCTCTCTTTAGATTGCTATTGTGTTTTATCAATCACTTTTAAGAGCGACTTGACTAGGAATATGACCTTTCTGATCCCAAATTCACTATATTCTGTCTAAAAGTTGGTACTGCTAATGTCAAAAGTGCAGCAAGACCTAGCGTGGGCCTAGGATGCACCAAACTTGACAAGCCTAAAGTAGGCACATAGCATAGGACAATAAAATTTGACTCTATACTGAAAAAATGATGAGTTTTCCTCTGTAATGTGGGAGTGGAGCATTTTTATTGATTGTCACACAGAAATATGATGAGCTCTTGCTTACTCCTTAATTTCAGGAGAGGATATTTGCTTCAAGCTCTTGCATCACCACAACTGTCAATACACATCAACACACTCTTCACCACATGAAGCTGGTCATTAAGAGTTTGTTACTTTCATCTCCTAAGGGGCTAAAATGTGGCCCCCTTGCTGTTAAAATATTTGCTCTTCATAGGTGGTGCAGCAGGTTCTAAGACACTACGTTTTTGTAAGGCCAGCTATTCAACCCTCCCAGAGTTTGGATAGGAACTATAATAACTGTAAATTGTAGTTACTTACAGAGAGGACTATATTAAAGTGTTGCTTGGCATGGTAGTATAAAATCAATTTTTTATACATGAAACTATTAAATCTTTTAAAGGGGAAAAAAATCTATCTTGGGAATTTTGGACCAAAGTCTGTACCAAACATGGATTTGGGATTCAAATATATTGTTTTCTCTGTCTGTATATCCCCAAGTTGAGAAATTAGTATCAAAATTTATCCTGAAAGCAAAACTCTCTGTCTTCACAGATGATATGATTCTATACCTAGAAAATCCCAGGTCTACCTGTTTCATTTAGTTGTTATATCTTCTGTTTTTCTTAAAGCCATAACTTTCTTCTCTCTTTTTGTTTGTGCAATTATTTTTGTTGAAAGAATTGGTTATTTAGTCCTTTAGCATTTTCTACATTCTGTATTTTACTGATTGCAGAGCTGTGACTTTAATGTGTTGCTACAACCCTGTGATATAATCCATAGCTAATGATTATAACTTCTGTATTGTACCTTCCAATGAAAAGAGAATGACTACAGTATGAGGAATTCCCTCTCTCTTTTTTCAGATTTTTCCATCAAAACCTTTCACCTTCTGACAGACCTCAGAACACCTCCAACTTTGTTGCTGTGTCTTCCTGGATCAATCCTCACATTTGAGGTTCAAAAAACCTTCATAATTTTTTTTCTGTGTTGACAGCCTCAATTTTGATCAACAGTGCCATAAACACTCACCACCAGGAATATTCTCAGCCACCCCCAGGGGCCCAGAGAAAGTAACAGAATGTACTGTCTGGTAGACAGTCCCAGGAACTGGGTTTCTCGACCTGTCTGCTTCTCATTCTTCCTGAAGTTTCCAGCCACCTGGAATTGCCCTGCTCCATGGGCCCAAATGTCCCCTCACATCTCCCTCCCAGGGGAAAACACCGACTGGTTCTTACTTGGAATAAATTGGAGTGGGTCTACTCCAGAACTTTTTCAGCAGTTTTCTCCTAACGGGGATGTGAGGTTGTGATTCTTTCCTTAATTGAATTCCATCTACTTTTTAATCTTTCTAGGAATGTTCATAATTTGGGACCACTAAAAGTGCTTTCCTTTTTCAGGTTTTCCAGCACTGCTATGAGTTCATTTATTTAATACATTCTTCTTATCATAAATTTGGAGCAGGAGCAGGACACACCGTATGTTCTCAGGCTGCCCACTTAATCCAATCCCTAAGTGGGAATCACTGAATCCTCCTTTATAAAAACCTGCATATTCCCTGTTGCAACTAATAGATGACACTAAAGGCAAATGCAAGGTAAGTTGAAGTGTAAAATAATTAAGAACAATATGGGAATGCCTCCAGGATAATCAAACACAATAAGGGTATTTTTTTAAAATAAATTTTAAAAGGGAAGAGATGATTTGGAACTGAGGGATGCTGTGAATTGTGCAAAGGAAGGAGCACCTTGCCCCTTCTCTCCATTTGAGTCTTAGAATAGAAATGAGAGTACTCCAGAAAGAAGTTTAGTTATACCCAGGAATTTCAGGAATACTGGGGTAAGGAAGAGTGGGGAAGTTCCTGTACATACTAAGCACAGGAGATAGATAGCAAAGAAACAAACTTAGGCAAAAGTGAGCTGGCCAGGAATGAGAGGGAATAGAAGGAAAATCGTGTAGGGATTTGTCTGAGTCAGTGTCTGCAAAAGCAAAAAAATTCACACACAGGCATGTAGAAAATAGGGGAAAGAAAGCTGTATAGGAGTCTGTTTGGAAGAGTTATAATTAGCTCCCAAATTCTTGGTGAGAACTTGATGTGTTATGCTTCAGCCTCTGTAGCTTGTCTCCAAGATACCAGTTTTTATGAAGACAAAATTTTCATGGTATGATGGAGAAAGGAAGTTAGCAGGAGATGTAGATGAGTGAGAACAGCCAGAAAAAAAGAGGTAGTTTAGGACAATAAAAAAGGTAACTCTTACAATTATGAAGTGGTGAAAGAGGCCAGTTGAGAAGATAAATTTAGCAAATGCATCTTTCTTTCTTTTGTGTCAATTTTGAAGCTAGTGATTGGTGGAAGCCAAAAAGAAAAAGACAAAATTGAACCAAATCCTCTGACCTGCCAGAGAAAAATAAAAAGCACGCAGAAAAAGTGACAAGGGCTTAGATGACATGATAGTATCATAGAAAGGGTAGGGCATCAATAATTTTTTAAAAAACCATAAATTGAAATCAAGACTGCAACACTTACTAATAGTGTAGCCTTGGGCAAGTCCATCAAGCCATTAGATCCTTGTATTCCTCATATGTAAAATATAGATAACAGCATATGGGGTAATTCTTTGGTAGTTAGTGAAATGATACCCATGGGGACTGTTTAGACTGTGATGTGTTACATGACTTCACAATAACACTAGAAAAATTAATAATCTTCAGAAGATGCATGGGACCAACACTAATGACTATTCAGCAGTCTTTGAAACGATTAATAAAGAAAAATAATAACTGGGTATGGTGGCTCATGCCTATAATCCCAGCACTTTAGGAGGCCGAGGCAGGAGGAATACTTCAGCCCAAGAGTTCAAGACTGCCACCATTGCACTCCAGCCTGGGTGACAGAGATCCTGTCTCAAATAAGTAAATAAATAAACAAACAAACAAATAAATAAATAGAAGAAAAGAAAAAAGAAAATGAATCCAGCATTTATCACAACTTTTCTTTTTTTTTTTTTTTTTTGAGACAGTGTTTCACGTGTTGTTGCCCAGGCTAGAGTTTAATGATGCGATCTTGGCTCACTGAACCTCCACCTCCCAGGTTCAAGTGATTCTCCTGCCTCAGCTCCCGAGTAGCTGGGATTACGGCATGCACCACCACACCTGGCTAATTTTTGTATTTTCACTAGAGATGGGTTTTAGTAGAAAATGTAAACCAAAGTGTTAGAACCTAAGAATTATGACTACTGGAAGAATACAAATATGATGCATAAATTCCATATGGTTAAAGTAGTAAAAAGAGATTGATTCAATTAAAGGAAATAATGATAGGAAAACAAACAACAAAAATAATGACAAAGAAAGCATGGTAAATAGAAAACTAAATTATGCACAATGACAACCATTAAACTTTTGTTAAAAAAACAAAATTAGTTACATTATAATAGATCATGTTATTTCATTGTAAAAAAGTTCAATACTATTAAACAGTTTAAGGAATGAATAAATTGCTTTCAGATTATTGCTGGTGGGAAGTAAATTGGCAACGATTACTTTTAAAGGTTTTTATTAAAATAAAAGTGTCATTCACAAGGAAGTCATAGCAGTCTTAAACATTTAAATACCTAATAACACAGTGGTGAAATATTTAAAAGAAAAATCTGATAGGAGTATGTGAAACTGAAAAATGTACAATCATAGTGCAAGATTTCAGAAATTGATAAGATCAAATAAGTAACGAAAAACGTTTGATCTAATAGATTGTTAACATAAAGCACCTATGAGTTAAGTTGTTGCTAATTTTCTTTGAGGACAATTTGGCAGAATCTATTAGAACTTAAATTGTGCAAACCTTTTGACCCAGGAATACATCCCAAGAGAAATGCTGGTACAATGAAGCATTGGTAGGAGTACAGTTAAGTAAATACTA